AAATACGCACATATGCATACGCACAAACACGCATACACGCATGCGCAGAAAATTCTGCCCAGTCGGTATATATACTTATGTATGCGTGTATGCGTGTGAAAACAAACACACTCACTTGTAGATACTCTTTAACAGAAAGCAACCTTGCATATAGAACAGGGAATCGCCTGTGTTTAACACGTGTTATATCAGTGGGTTAGTCCGGTCAATATTTCACTTCTTTTCTTTTGAACGTCATTTTCTGGTTTACCAAGAAACTGTTATTGTGATTAGAAGATATTTTAATATTTGAGTTTGTCTTGTTTGTGGTCTCACATTCCAACCGATTTATTGCACTAGGATTCATCTCATACATCGGTATATAGTGTGTGTGTGGTGGGGGGACAAAAATGTGTTACGAAAAATCAGTTGGATTGCGGTTGGATGGATGGAAAATATTTTTTTCCCTTCATTTAGAGTAACCAATTGTGTTGGGTACATAATATTTGCATTACAAACGATCTCGATTTTAGAAGAATTTATGACGAACATGAACTTCTTCGAGGCCGACATTGCCTTGTGCTCGTAAAGGAACGTTTTCATCAAAGGAACTTGGGCAGAATTGCATGCCATGTAGCTTTGTCCCTAGCGCTTAGTACTTCTTATTCAGTTCACCTCTGTCGAGTAACTAGAAAACAGAGTTAATTGAAATCCTATGCAGTTACAAGGTTCTAATAGTAATTTGTGTAATCTATTGACACCATCCTCCCGGAGTTGGCCTGCTGGAGGCCAATAAAAATACTCTCCGGTTACCCTCCCTAGACCGACTGTTGACATAACAATAACGAGTCCATCTGAAAAGAAGACGCCAAGAAAGCCTTTCCGGGGTTGAGAAACGTGTATTCGGCTGATAGTGAAGCCTGCCGGTTACATCGGTACAGGCACTTCTTTTTATAGTAAATGCTATTTTGCGCGTTACTTTTATAAAACCGATCATTGTCAAGGAATGTATGATGTATTCGTGATCATTTCTGTTCAACATGAATATTTGCAGTTCATCTTCACTTATGTCTGTAAACAGAGAACGTGAACGTTTCAAATTATAAGACAAAATAGACAATCAGTTTAAAGGTTTCATTTTCGTTTTGAAACTTCTATAAACAAAAGATCTGGATCAGGATATTTCCCAAAATTGAGCAAGATCTAAAAAACTCACTGCAATTTATGACCAAGGAAGAATGTCGGAGGTTCTTTTTTATGTATCGTGTCTTCTCTGGACGTAGGCGATCATGACTCTCCACAACTTCCTGTCCCTTGTATCTCTTAATAAATTTTGTTTGTCTGTTATTCCTCCTAAACCCTGTTCTGCCATTCATTTAGTCAAGCTCATTTAGTCAAGCTCATTAAGCATGTTATGCGTTGTTTTCCTCTGTCCATCCAGCCCTCTACCTGTTGCGTGACTATTTTCTCATTATATGCTGCAGAATTGTCTCTTAAGGTTAATAAATTTTAAACCATTATCAGTACTTTTTTTTATTACTTCAGTTAAAATGTTTATTGTACTAATTACTTCCAAAGGCGGACTATACTTCTGTTGTTTCGAAAACAATTATCCAAATCTTTTGGATATTGATTGGGTTTTCAAAATATTCTCAGTAGAATAGTTTCATTTATTCAATTTGTAAATTAGTAAAATCATTTTTACTCGAACTCATTTCGAGTGAGATGACCTTGTTCAGATTCCTCCAGTCTTGAGTTTTATTGAGTTTCTTTTCCTGTAACACAAACGACAATAACATGGATATTCGCTATTCAGTAGAAAGGAAATAATGATCGGTCTAATCTATTTGAACCAATGAATATAATATAGGCGATATTATATTCTGTATGCAAGAGGTTGATCTCTGCTCTAATATTTGTGGTAGTTGTTTTATAGCAATCCAGAATCTTCCTGCTATAATAGCAGTACAACATTTGGAATGCACTCGAAGAAATCTTCTTCATTCTTCACGTTATTATTTGAAAGTTAACATAGCGCGAGAATTCAAATATACCGCATGCAAATATCACATCAGTAGATTCTATGCAATTCGAATTGTTTCACTGTCTATAAAATTAGGTGTTATTTGAATGAAATCAGCTTCATCATACTAGAGTTATACCAAAATATATTTCTCTCTCTCTCTCTCTCTATATATATATATATATATATATATATATATATATTAACAATATTACTCGCTTGAAAAACCTCGGATAACCCAACCTAATATATATGTATATATATATATATATATATATATATATATATATACAGTGTAACCCGGATATAAGAGACTTCTTCTCCGGTCCCGACAACTGTCTTATATCCGGGTTACACTGTATATATAAAATGTGAGCTTGGTTGAAGAATAAAAATATTAATTGCCGAGGATTTTTTGTTTATCGGTTCTAACATTTTTCTGGTTTTTGGTGGATATTTGAATATAAATTTTCGACGTCTTCCGAGTACTTTCGACATTCAGAACCCAATTTCTTTAATATTTTGTCGGTAATTTTTGGAGTATATATATGTATATTATTTTTTCTCTTTTTCAGTAGTAATAATAGAACATCTGACAGGAATCGTGAAATGTAAGAACCAGGGCGCAAATTTACTGTAGATGACCTTGCGATCAAGGCACTATCGCAAGATAGATCTTCTATTATCACAGTGTGGGCTACTTACTAACAAAAGTGATGTAAAGAAAAAGAAAAACTCTAAGAATTCGGCTAGGTAAAAAAAAAAAAAAAGGTAAAAAATTCTGAAATCCCCAACACCCTTCTTTCGTACCCTCAGTACGAAAGAAGGACTAAATTTGTTGGTAGGACTACCAACAAATTTAGTCCGATGAAGTCCTGAAGGACGAAACGCTTCACAAGTAAACTTTCTCCACTTTGTCATACATTTTCACTTTGTCAAAAAAATTATTTATATTATATATATATATATATATATATATATATATATATATATATATATACGATTTTGAAAACTTTTATCTTGACAGATTTCGTTGATGAATCGGTGGTATCAAAAACAAAAATATCAAGAAGGATTTTGTCTTAACAAATAAATCAAGTTTTGTCTCGCTGATATATATTTTGTTGAAATAAAATCAGTTTTCCTGATGCTGCCGTCCGATGAAAATAGAAAAAAAAATTGTCAGATATATTTTCAATTCTCCTTGGAAAATTTACTCTCTCACTCACGCAGCACGTACGAGTCCGCACCCCCTCAACGTATATACATGAAGATGTGTTTCTGTGCACGCGTAAAGAAGTGGAACATGACAAATGACAGTGGTTATAAAAGAATAAAGGAATACGTAGAATACCACGATGGAAGGTGGTGGGGTGTGAGGAGAGAAGTATAAAAGAAATGAAAGTCAATGAGACTAGGAGATTTGCTTATCAGATTTTGGACAACAATCTTTGGTACATACAAGTTTGCTATTTTGGTATTTTACATTTTTTCCTTCTTAATAATCTTACTCCAAGCAAGGCAATAAAACCACTAAGATGAACGATTATACTGATTGTTAAAGAATAGGAGAAAAAGAAAAACATTATGGAGGAGAGAGAACAATGAAAGAACTGGAAGAGAAGAGAAGAGAAGATAACGATTGACATTGCATTTAACTTTTTAAAGTTAACTGGAAAACAAAATACTAGAAAAGAGTTACACAAGCGAGAAGTGTTAGCATAAAACTTACGGTTACATCTACGGTTATATCTTGCCATTTCATCTGTAACATGATGAGACCTAGCTGCCAATTTAGTATTCGTAAAGTCAAGGTACTATGAAAATATTTATATAAAAGAACAGGAAAGCCATATTAGGGAGGTGGGAGGCTGACTGAAAATGACCTGCCATTTTAGGACCGATAACATTGCAGATTCTTCATTGGATTTTGTCAAGAATCCCTAAATACATAGCAGAAGCATCGGACCATATGTGGTAGAAATATTCAATAGAGGGACGAATGGAAGACTTATAAATGTGTAAGATAGATTCTGGTGAGAAAAATTGTCAGGCACGACACAGTAAACCAACTTTCCAAGCAGCAGACTCAATATAATCATTCCACTTTCCAATCTGTCAGCGGAAAACGTTACACCGAGAGGGCTTTATGATTTCGCTAAAATCAAAATAAAGTATTATTCAGTAGCGGAGTTTTATAATTTTTTTGATGGGGTAATAATTAAACTAAGTCTGTATTGATATATGGTCGTTAGCAAAAGATATAGCCCCAGATTCCGCCTACAAATTGGAGACGTCAAAATAAAACAAGTAGTCTGCAGAAAGAAATGAACGATCTGGGAAGTGTTATCACAGACAAAGGAGAATGAGACAGAAAAACAAAGACGCATTGAAATAGCGAAAGTTGCATTTCAGGAACTAAGCAAATTATTAAGGGAAAGAAAAATTTCGTTGGAACAATGAAAGTACTCAACTGTTATCCAATATAAATCTTCCTATATGGCAGCGACTACTGGAAATTTTCTTGACAGATGAAGAGGAAAATTGAGGCAATAAAGATGTGGTTATACAGAAGACTAATGAGAATACCATGGACTGAACATATGAACAAAGAAGAAGTTAGTCTTAGGGAAAATGGTAGCGAGAAGGATATTTGTGATTAGAATCAGAAAGAAAAGTTGAAATTTATAGGACACATAATGAAGAAAAGAAGCTTGGAGAATATGACGCTCATAGGGCATTACTGCAGACAAACGAGGAAGAAGGAAACACTGAGTAACATACCAAACGATATTGTATAAATGGTTGGCCGAACAACGATTAGGAGAGTTAGAGCTACAAATGACAGGAAGTTATGGAGAGCCGTGATTACCTACATCCTAAAGGGGCACGACACATAAAAGAAGCCGGAATTTAAATATTTCTCTGTGTATATATATGTGTGTGTGTGTAAATTAATACATCTTTGTTTTGCATATATATGACTTAATGACTATATTTAAATGTTGTGTGTAAATATAGTGAAAACTTTAGAACATTTGCAGTTATCGAAAAATGTTGAACAGTAAGAGAGATAGATAGATAGATAGAGAAAGAGAGAGAGAGAGTGAGAGAGAGAGAGAGAGAGAGAAGAAAACAATTTTAAATGAAGAGTAAGGTGCGAGAGAATTAGTCGGTCAGTCAGAGTGTTAAGCGAATATGTTCGTGACGCGTTGTGGGTTGTGTTGAGGAGAGCCTAGCGAAGATCCAGTGTCGCCAGCTTGTCGGGTATGCATAAAGTATGTGGGTGCCGACAACTTGTAGTAAGTACAAGCCGGGTACGCCGGCAGAGACTGCCTGGCGCTCGCTTCTTCTGTAGAACGAACTGTGGATTGCTTTCGGCAACGCTCTTTTCACTACACCGCCACACATACACACACTCAACGCGCACACACGCATACAAGCACATGTACACATTCTGGCAGATTATTTGTTTATGTTTTCTGCATATATTTGTGCACAAAACACACACACGCATACGCATGTATATGTGTATTTAAAATATATATTATTGCTTAAGATTTGTTTATCGTGGATAAGTGCTCAATATAGAAGATGGAGAGTTTGTAGATATATACAGTGTGGATATAGCGATCAAAATGATTGTTTAAGACGTGAGACTGGCAGTTACCATGTAGTGTTAATTTATATCTTCACACACACACACACACACACACACACACACACACACACACACACACACACACACACACATATATATATAATGCGTGTGTGCGCGCACGCTCGTATGTGTTTTATTTACGTTCATTTTCACAACTATATATATTTTCTCAATGAAAGATATAGTATTCCAAATACAAAATCAAAATCTATCAATAAATAGAAATTAAAAAAATATATATTCGTTGTGTTTACTAGACCACTTGTCACATGTTCCAGTAATAGGATATTGATAGAAATTATGAAATTAGCAATAATGGCAAACACTTATAAAGTCTGATCAAAAAGTGTCGGTGCTGTTGCTATCGTAACGGAGCTAAAATATGTAGAATGAAGCTGTTTGACACAGATTGACCTTGAACTCCTTTGCGAATGCACGCTAAGTTATAACATTTTCACTCACTTCCTTTGTTTATAGAAGTGCTTGGAAGTTTATAGAGTGTGGTCTTCTTACCACACCACAGAGATTCCATCAATGAACATGGCATGTGTTTCAGGTTTTGGCCAAGCACATAATTACCCAGGTTCGGCAACCACTATTTTCCTCAGATCTCACCTTTTTGCGACTTTTTCCTCTTTCCAAAAATCAAATCCTATTTGAAAGGAACAAGGTTTCAAGACGTTGAGGAAACAAGACAGCTATCTCAAAAAGTTCCAAGAATGTTTCTATAAATGGAAACGACGCTAGGTAAGTGCGTGGCTTTAGAAGGAGATTAAGTATCGAATTTTTATGTGCGGTAGTTTTCTTTTTATAACACCAGTCCCGATACTTTTGATCAGACTTCGTATACAAGAATAAGTTTTCGCGGAAAAACCTAGAACATCTGAGATCTTTCCATTGGAAGGTGAATCTAACAAGTATCTCATATTTCTCAAGGACAACTTGAAGATATACGCAGCAAGTTTATTAACAAATGAGAAAAATTTTGATGCTTTTTACACTTTTTATTCTTTGAGATGGCTCAGAAAGGAGAATGGACAAGCCGACTCAAATTCCAGCTTAGTCTGTTGTGTTCCCTTTTGTACTTTTGGAAGAGCATGCACCCATCATGCCAACTTCTATCTGAGTTAAATAACAGGGAAAACTGTGTAGCCTAGCCTTGCGGGGTAACCAGCCTAAGAGAAAGGAAACTGTAGAGAAGGCAACAAGAATTACTTCACTGTAATTCATAAGAAGTCACGGCAATTTCCAGATAAAAAAAGAAATGAATCTGTCGAAAACCATGATGCGCACGTTCTGAAGAGACATATCTTTAAAAAAGATTTCTTGAGAGAAGACATATTGTTATCATTGATATCACAACTTCGAACTGTATAAGAAAACTTTATGAAGAATTCATTCGAAGACGCTCCAAGCAGTAAAAATTATTGAACATGGCCGCATACATACAGTATTTTGGGTAGTTTGCATAGCAGCCGAATCTTCTTGGGGGGGGGGGAAGTAAAGAGTGCTAGCTAAATACGATGTCATCTTCATCTTGCGTAAGAAAATCGAAAGGTAAGAGGCTTGAGAGCAAAGATAAATAGTGATATCAGAAGACACGAAGATATATGTCGAATATTTATTTGAGAATGATTTCCTTATCCTTTTATCTACAACGTTCCATTAGCAATAGAATCAGATAAAATTATATATGCTACTCACTGCAACACGTTACAAATTTTGTTTCCGAATATTTGTACACCAAATCTAATCTTCATAATTTTACTAAACGTTCGCTACTTGATTTTGCTATTTTAATTTTCACGGCTATAACTGTGACTATAAAAGGCAACAGAAAATTATCAGTGCTTAAATATTAGCGATAGCAAATATATCCAACTTTAATTAGGACGACTTTATTGTCATTGTTTAGCACATAATGTTTCTATTCCGACAGAATCATTGGTGCCATATCTAAAAAGTAACTCAAATTACGTAAAATCTGCTTCGGAGCAGGATGTGCAGGTAGTGTAATGTTAGCGTCTTGGAACGTGACATCGGCGAGATGAGTTCGATTTCCGGTCAAGTAAACTGGGATCTTTAGTTGTGATTGGAAACAAGTCTAGAATGACAACTTTGAATTCAAAACTGGACAAACCCCTGGCGAAGAATATACAGTAGTCATGGAAAATATTAGGAAGTATACAATTAAATGCGGCGCTAGGTTGTAGATATTCTCGACTACAGTTTATGAGTTAGACAGATTTGGGGGATATAAAAACTACGAAAAACATTGCACACATAATGATTCTAATAAGATATCCATAAATAGAAAAGTAACTTGTAATGAAGAAAATATGTTTGTGGGGAGTAGTTATGCAGATTGCAGAAAAAATACATATTCACACATAAACATACACATACACACTCACATAAACACACATAGACAGCAAAGCAGACACGTAAATTTTTCTGGAGCAATTTAAACTATGCAATCTAATTAATGAAGAAAAATGAAATACTTTGATATTCCGAGGACAGTAAATAGAGTATAAAATTTAAAAATACGATTAATTAAAGATAAACAGATCAATTAAAAACAATAATATTACGGGCTAACTTCAAAAGAATTGAGTGAAGAAATCAGCTTAAAAGCTTAAGTATTGGACACATAACTTATATTCAATGTAATTCTTGTCTCTTACAGTCACTTCTGGTTTTTGTTAGAATCATCATCACTCCAATAAGAAAAAAAATGCACCAATGAAAAGTACATAATTATATAAATTATTTATTAAGTCAATGTAAAAGGAAAACGAGAAAATAAACAGACAATTGCTGATATTTCATGAAGAGTGGACAAAGCGACTGCTGGAGAGCCCGTCCTCGAAACTCTATAGTCGAGAGGCTGAAAATAACATCAATCAGCTAATTGACAATTTTATATTTTTATTAATTTATATATATATATATATATATATATATATATATATATATATATATATATATATATATTTGAAAAAAATCCGAGGCGCAGATTTCTATATTGATAAGATTTTTTTGAGAATTTTCAGTAAGTTACTTTCCCTTTTAATAAGTGTTAGATCAAAGTTGTAGTTAAATTTATCTCTATGTATAACTAATGATAAATTGTTTTGTATAAATACTTTTTGTGTTCAAATATACGTTTTTTTTTATTTTCTGCAAGTTTCCCCAGTGTATTGTGAGGAGCAGTTCTGGCAATTTATTTTATATTTTATATAAGTCTGCTTCAGAATACTTATTATGGATATTTTGGTCCAGAGGACAAAACGCGTCGGTTACTATAAGTTATCATTTTGTCTTTATTCATATCTTATGCTTTTGTTATTTATTCATATTTTTCCTTTCTGAAATTCACACACGCACGCACGCACGCACGCACGCACGCACGCACGCACGCACGCACGCACGCACGCACACTGTTAGGGGACCTTACCCATAATAACATAATGGACTATTCCATACGTAATAAATACTGCGCCTCAAGAGGAAGCAGGGAATTGAGTTCAGTCTGAAGTCTGGAGTGAAGTCCGTCAGGAGTCTGTCAGTCAGTCGAGTCAGAGGCAGTCCGAAACAGAATCGCATTCAGACAATTACTACTAAACCTGATTGTTCATACTAACACTTTCTACCTCTCTGTATATATTCCTGTTTGTAATATATCTGTGTTATTCCATATCCGTGTTCAAGTTCTTCTTTATTGGTTCTACCTTGGACTATCACCGTGATACAAGGAACCGGACCATAACACACACACACACACACACACACACACACACACACACACACACACACACACACACACACACACACATATATATATATATATATATATATATATATATATATATATATATATATATTTTAAAGTATTAATGGATTTTATTTTTTAATCCGACATTTTTATTACTTCATATGTTATGAATAGAGACCCGTAAGAGAGTAGACGCTCCGTTTTATTTTAAACAGTATTTTGTCTACAGGCCTACACACTAAAGAAAACTTATTAAAGACAATGTCTCCGACAAAGGGAGACGCAGGCTCGAATGCTGCCGGAGGAGACATTTTCAGCAGGACTGTGTCAGCGGGACAATTCTCCCTTCAAAATTTTTCACATCTCCCATGTCGAAAATTTTCACATTCATGTCACCCGGTCTCCTAGCGCCTTTGATTTGAATCCATTGGAGAGGATACCAACCAGCGGTCCCCCAATCCCAAAGACTAGGTGACGTAATAGCCGAGACGAACAGGAACCACTTGATCCGCGTATCCAATCGCTTCCGAAGCCACAGGAAACTGGGAGCGATTTTATTGAATGACCTGTTTCTCTTTTTCTAAATTGAATATGTCTGACGTTTTTCTGTTTATATATATATATATATATATATATATATATATATATATATATATATATATATATATATATGAATATATATATAGATAGATAAAGAGAGAGAGAAAGAGAATGATAGATAAAAATCAACAGATAACAAAGAGCTGCCATGACAACATATTATTTGTTAACCTGAGCCCACCATAAAATTAAACCT